TAATTAATAAAAAAATAAAGATATTTAATAATAATAAAACTTTAAAATGTATTAATAAAAATTTTTTTAAAAAAATATAAGAAATAAAATAAGTATTAATATATAATACATGTAAATTTTATCATTTTTGACTATATTATTAATAATTTAAAAGTTATTAAAGTTGAAATTTATAATAAAAATATAGTAAGTGGACTCAAACTTTTGAAAGCAATCATAGTATATATATAAATTATTTTTTTTATTTTATTTATCTTAATCAAAATAGTTAAGCTATTAAATTTATATAAACTTTGATAATTTTAAAATTTAAAATCTAATTTGATTATTTAAAATTTAAAATATAACTTAATCGGATTTTAAAACTTGAAAACTAAAATTGACTCAATTATAAATAATTCAAAAAATTTAAAATTTAAATCAATTAGATTAAATTAAATTCTTAGATTAACTAAATTTAGATTTAAATTATTAAAAAATATAATATTTAAAAAATAAAATAAAATAAGATTTTTGAATAATATAAAAAAACAATTTAATGCAAATATATTTTACTATAAAAAAATAAAATTTCTTAAATATAACCAATTAATATTTTCAAATCAATTTTTAAAATAAATCTTTAAAGAATTAAAAAATTAAAAATATTATTACTTATTAAAATATTGATAAATATCTTATTTTAAAGTAATATTTAATTATTGAATAATTATAATACAAAAAAAAAAAAAATAAATAAATATTTAATTAAAAAATTGAGCAAAATAAAAATTAGACTATTTTAAACTATCTTAATAGAAATAAAGATAAAAATCCTAAATAATAAAAAAAATTTGATTATTAGTTATATAAAAATAAATAATCTAAGAAGATAAGAATTAAATTTAATATTATAATTATTAAATAAATAAAAAAATAACATAATTATATATAAATAATAAAATATTAATCAATATAATGCAATGCTATTCATATAATATTTATCAAAAAATAAATTACTCAACAAATTAATAGTATAAATAAATTATCAATTCATTTTTACTATATAATTCAATATTTGCATTATATAATTTGAAATAAATAAATTATTAATTCATATTATTAGATATTATTATATTTTCACTAGTTATGCAATTTTATATATATATATACAGTATATATATTTTCTTATATGATTTCTTAATTTGTTTAATGTTATAAAGAACAGTTGACTTTGACAATTGATTGTTGACGAAGTAAATTATTAGAAGAGTGCTTATTCAAAGCAAAGTATTTATGGAACATTAGATTGTTTTCATGATCAAACTTGGAGACTTCAGCTTAAGATAAAGTTTGTTAATAGAAGAATTGTTTTAGTTTAGATTCTACATGTATACAATGCTCGAGTATTTTGTACTAAATAGTCAATAAACACATGCTACTAGCCTGGCTTAACGGGTTATTGCAAAAAAAAAGTATATGCATGATAGAAATAAATATATTACGTAAATTCTAAAATTAAATAGTGTAATTACGACAATTAATATTATTTACCGTAAATACAGAAACTAATATGATCAGTTTTGGGACCAATGTTTTTTATCTTGGCTTTTTCCGCGAGGAGTTACCAAGTTATGAAAAAACTTTCTCCCCCCCCCCTTCTAACTGGACATTCATTATAAGTCGCAACATCAACATTTCAAGGTTAAAAAAACTGAAGTGTGGGAAAATTTACCATCATCATAGTTTCGTCGATTTCTTTCTATCATCGCGATAGGAAAGCGCTGCAATTTGGCGGTACGTGTTGGCGCAGCTGGTATAAATAAATGACCTCATTTTCGCTGAAGGATGCGAATTACATATTTGTTTTCATGGCACACAGCCTAATCGCTTAAGGATTAATGCGCAATAGTAAATACATTGTATCTATCAGCGATCCAAATGCAACCTTTTTGAGAAGACCGGTATTCAATTTGTTCTCGTGAAGCGACGTAAGGTAACACGAACGATCCCTTTACTTCATAAATTTCATCATATTTACGTCATTGATAAACTCCCCAGGCGTGATAATTCCTGGGATCTTCTTTATATAAAATGATGACTCTAAATTCTAGTGTTGCTGGTTAACTGACAAAAAATGGAGTTTGCGGTATCATCACCTTTACCATCGGATTACATTCGTAGCGACCCAAGAGTATTCTTCTCGTATCATCCAGAGAACGCATCATTTCAAAAAGGTTTTCTGGGTGTGGATGTCTCCACCGTCTCTGGTACACTACACGTTCGATTTCCCTATGCCGTCGAAGTCAAAAACATCACATTAACGTTCATCGGTCGAGAAATAGTGGAATCTGGTGACTTAAAGAAAATAAGAGCAGAGAAAATTATTGTCAACCAAAGTATTTACCTTTGGCAAGCCTCGTCCGCTTTGGGACGTGATCTCATAACCGATTTGGATCTACCATTTAACTTCAATGTACCAGAAGATGCCATCGAATCCTTTATCTCACAATTTGGTAAAGTACAATATACTCTAAGGGCCACCATCAATCGTAAAGCCAAGAAGAAGACAACTGTGGAAGTGGTAGTGCCATTATGTAGATGGTCAATGCCTGAGGAATCAAAAATGAGGTCCCTGTTAATAAAGTCGAATGCTCGACATCAAAAGGTTCCCCTTTCATGGCAAGCCGTTCTACCACGTACATTTTTTGACATAAACTCCGAGGTGATCATTAAGTTACGATTCATTTCTCATAATCCTGAGCTGAGAATAAAAAAAATTAGTGCATTTTTGAAAACTTCCGTGAATCATACGGTAAAGAATCGTGGGATGTTACAAGAGAAGAGTCATCAGAAGCACAACACATATGGAAAAGATATAATAATGAGGCCGGTGGGGACAGATACGGAGTTTGAGACGGATGTGGTGGTGAAAATACCTAATAATGTTCCACCTACCTGTAAAACAAAATACACCTCTATAAGAAATCAAATTCACATTAAAGTGTCGTTTGAGAGATCACGGCGCCAAGTGACGATTATGAGGGATGTCACAGTGGGAAGAAACATCCTGGGCCATTAATGGTTATAAATGATATTGCCAACTAAAATTCTTTGACAAGTATACATCATACAAGAAATTTCAACATAAATATAAGCATGTAAATAAACAACTATTTAAGTTCAAAATAAAAAATATATTTTTAATGAAACCAATATGCCATCAGCATGTGTTCCCGAAATCTATGTAGTTCAGTAACAGTACCTTTCCATTCGTACGAAGTGCGAACTAAACGGCACGAATATTTATCCATTTACGCGTTAACTCTTTGCATCGAATCCAGGCACAATGTACAATGTTCATCTTTATCGAACCTTTCCAACACTTGTGGAAAGTTGTCTGTTCGTAGGATATTTTTAAATAAAAATCCTCGGAGGAACTGTAATTTTGACAATGATACATTATGAAGAAGCAGAGAGCATTATAACATTCACAATGGAACAATGGGCGGACATCAGAGATCGGTCCCATGCACATCTTTATTCTACACCACCGTACGGAATTCTTTCAAACCTCGTCTGGCCTTAACATCTTCCCTCCGCTCTACTCCGGAAACTATTTTAAACACGTCATTGGAAAAATTTTGCTAACCATTTAAATGCGAAAATAATCGAGGAATTCACTATTACACACCAAATAAGAATGTTAATGACTTGATCCATAACTGGAAGATATGTAATGTCAGACGACAAATCTGTTTGGCGTTATTTAACATTTTTCCAAAAATGGAAATTGTTCAACATTTTTCAAATCGAACGTATCGTATTCATGTTTGAGCAACGATACATAAGCACTCTCGTATAACCCACTAATAAAAATATTTACGCATTAAGGTCATACAAATATATGCAGTAATTATGTGAATCTCAAGATTGTCAGGTTTCCTCTTTTCCTATACATTATAAACGATATATTTTTTTTTCAAGGAACCACCCACCCTTCTGTCCTTTTATTAGACACACATATACTAACTATTTACAATCCTTCATCGCTCAAGATACGAAAGGAAAATGAGAATTTAATATTATATCGTACCGGGTACAACTTATATTCCTTTCAAATTTGCAAACGGTGCTGATTATTTACGGCGGCACTTCTGATAAACGTTCACCTTCGATTTCCTTTGCTTGCAATGGGACAAGTCAATAATAATAAGAATGAATTATTCCTGTTGTCTAAACATAATGCAAATGCGTCATTATCCGTGCCCAAAATCGCTTTTGGTGCTTCTGCAAGGACGACAGCCAGTTATGAGCGGGATGAGGGTTCTTCCTCACGGCAAAGATCCTATGAAGATAACGAAAAGAAATTTACAGAAGGTGGTGATACCTTGTCTCGTCAAGATACCATAGACACCGATCCAAGATCTTTCGGGCCAAATCATTCAATGACCGATGATGAGTATTTTCCATCGCTTGAAAAAGTATTGATGAACAAGTCCGGCTCCCCATTATCACAATACAATTTTTATTCTTATCTAAGGCAAGAATGGCAAGGAGAGGAAAACTTGAATTTTTGGTTGGATGTTGTGACACACGAAAACTTGTTCGAATCGTGGCGGGAATATCAAAATCGTATAAAGAAAGCACGAGAAAGAAATAGTTACGATGAAAAAGGTCATATAATTTATGAGGAGGGAGACGAGTATGAAGAGCAGGAAGTTGTGGAAGACTGGGAACCAGTTCACAATTATCACAATTCAACATCTAGTGCTGAGGGTGGCGCGGCTGCCTCGGTCGACTCGAAGAATCCTGTGATATCGCCACAATCTAGACCATATGGTCACGAGATTACAATCAATCCTTCTGTAGACTACAGCAGACCGGAAACATTTAAACGCATTAGTGAAGATGATTTAATAAAATCCGCACAAAGCATATATCAAAAGTATGGTCACATGGATATCTTGCCTGAAGAAAGTCGGAATACGATGTCCGATCTTATAGAACGTCAGGGAAGATACAATCCTGTGGTATTTTCTTCGGCCAAGTCTTATGTATATCATATTATGAATGTAATCTATTTCCCAAAGTTTATTCAATCGGCCGTCGACATGAACCTTACTCAAATTCATGCCATGATCGCTTTACCCCTGGGTGTTGTATTTCTCGCTTTCGGTTTTTCTTTGGAACTTTATGATATATTTATGGGTTGGGAGAATCGTATGTTGAGGTTATATTGGCTTCCTGCTATATGGATCGGCTGGATATTGTTACAAACGGCCGCCACAAGATTCTTTCCGATTCTTAGCATCTTTGGTGTCAGGTATGTTTTCATACATAAAACTTCACGAGTTCAACTAATTTTTCCTAAATCTAACTATTTTATTTCTTTTTTTTTCTTCTAGCGAAACAAAACTCTTCCGATTTCACAAAATTCGCGAAAGAACAATTTTACGGGCTCACAGGAAAAGAGCTTTCGCTTTTATAATGTGGGATACGGTGGTTTCGGTGGTGACTCTTGGAGTATTAATTTTGATCCCGCCTATTACTTTGTATGACAAACAGGCTTAATCTTTGGTATGCTTTAATATCGGCGCGAAAATACTTCTCTAACACTTCTATATGTATGGGAGTGATAGAATACCTGTATTCATTTTCCTTGTGGCTAGTTTTATAGACATTTTTTTCTTTATAGATTATCTTGTACAATAATTTCTTATATATTCATAGGATTTGGTTATTTCTACGCACAGGATATTTTCTCGGAAAAGGTTAGGCGGGTGTTATGTATCTGTAAAAACTTTATTCGCTCCTCCTTCGCAATCATCTTGTAAACTTTACTGTAGTTTTATACTGGTTTTCTATCATTGTAATTTCTTTAATATTAATCATTAAATTTGCACGAAACACGGGTGTCGTACGCGCAGTCTAACATTTGCCGGAGTGTGACCATCACAAAAATCATTTTCTCCTATACACGCAAAATATATTTCACTTATGCAGTAAGTTCCTAGTGTGTAGCAAATCTTTTTAAAATTGATTAACAAATATCACATACTGTTAATTTTATGCCAATTGTCCCGAGCACTTAATTACTGTATATCCAGATTTGATTTATGCATTTTTTTTTAAAAAAAGTTTTACTTTTATATGAAGACGAGTTAGTCACGTTGTGAAAGTCTGTAAAATATTGTAGATTTAATAATTCACAATTGAAAGTTACTAATCAATCAAATACATAAGTACATATTTATTTAAATAGCATGATATATAATATAGTTAACATAATACAGTTAAATTTTTTTGTCTAATCTAACTAACTTATCATTGATATAAATTTGATCTTGGAAATAATTTGATATTCTATAGTAAACTTTGAATAAAGGTCTTTTCAATTAATATATTATTATTGGCCAATTATTGCTATTAATTATTTTATCAATCCTGAATAACAGAAAACTATATAGTATAAGGGAATGAATTAAAAAAGAGAAAGGGAAATATGATATTTGAAAATACATAAATATATTATAGAAAAAAATAAAAAAATAAATTTTAAAAACTTATATTTCTAAAAAAAAAATTTCAATAAGAATTATTATATTAAATTATTTGGTTTTTTAATTATTTGAAAAGCTTTCTATTTATAATCTTGATTTCTTTTTTATATATTATTTGAAAAAGCTTATTGTTTTGTAAAAATCTTTATTTTAAAAATATGTCTTACTTCAATTTACTTTAAGTATTGATTTTTTATTTATCTATAATTAATAATAAACTCTTAAAATATTTTATATACAATGTATAACAAAACTTTTTAAAAATTATTTATTTATTTATTATTTAAAAACTACTATATAAAAATTAATGAAAAATATATTAAAATGAAGCTAAAAATCTAGAAATTTTATTAATATAAATTATTAATTAATTTTTTCACCTTTCTTTTCAATTATTATTTTATATCTTTCTTTTCTATAATTTTATTATAAATTGATTTAATTTTAAAATATTTTTAGATAATTTTAATTCTATATTTCTTTTAATAATAGCTCAAAGATTTTAAAGTTTAGACTATTAGAAGAACAATCTATAACTTTAGAAAAATTTTCATTAATAAATATTATAATAATTTTACTTATATATTTTAGATCATTATTATATTTAAAATAAAAATTATTTTCAAACAATTCAATAATTTCTAATTTATGTTTTTGCAAAATATTAATATAAAATTTTGTATTTATAATTTTTTTAAAACAAAAGAAAAATTTTTTCTTTAATACAAAAATTTCTTTATACAAAAATTTGATATAATTTTTAAGTATTTCTTTAATTGATCTTGTATTTTAATACTATTGAGTAATTGTATTTTTAAATAATTGAAATATTGTTTTATCAAAAAATAAAGTCTTTTTTCAATTATGTCAAAATATTTCTTTGCTCAAATAATACAAACTTCTTTATGAGTAGTAATAAGCATAAGAGTTTTCAAAGATAAATTATTTTTTCTAACTCCAACTTGCTAAATATCTTAAAATTGTTACAGTATATAAGATATTTTGATATTTATATTTAATAATTTATTTGTTAAAGTTCTTATAAAAAAGTCTTGAATTATAATATAAATATTGATCAATTGTTTTTAATTCATATCAATAATCTTTTTAAATTAACTTTCATCAGATTTTTTTGAATCATTTTCTTTAAAATTTTATTTTTTAAGATCGTAATAAATAATTAAAATAGTTATATTAATTCTAGAATATATTTTATTTGCAGAAGTAATTTCATTTTTTCATAAATATAATATAGTTTGATATTATATATATTTTTCAAAAAAGAATATTATAAAAATACTGTAAGTTTATAAAAAATAAAATAAATAAAGAAATTTAATAATATATATATATTTACTAAGATATATTATTGTATATTTAAAATTTTATATAAATTGTTTTTGTTTTGAATAAGTTATTTATATTTATATTATATAAATAAAATTTTGAAAAGTTTTATTATATATTATATAGCATATAACTCTATAAATTATTAATTAACTATAAAAATTCTTTCTGCTTATCCTCTAACCACATACAAAAAAGATGTTTGCAAGAAGTTTTTATACTTCTTTACTAATAAAGTTTTAATATTTTCTTTAAAACAACTTGAAGTATAACTTCAAAAGTCACTTTTACCCTTTTTTCTCTTGTTTACAAACCTTTTCACTCAAAAACTTGACTTTTAATAATCAAGAAAAGTCAAGTAATATCTTTGATATCAATAGCAATCAAGTTTCCAAAGGAAGAAAAACTAACTGTAAAGTACCTGAAAGCCTATTTAACCTTTGAAGCAAAAGATATATAGAGGTTTTAAATGACAGAAAAGCTTATTTTTCCCTTCCAGTTACTTGTAAATCTTTTAAAACAATCGTTTTTATGGTTTTCTGATGAATTTTGCCTATCTCAGTTTGATCTTGAATTTTGAGTATCACAAATTTTCACTAAAAATGATTTGCTGACACAAAACATGTTAGTTTTTAAAATATAAACAAGCTTTTATTGATCACATCCATATGTTCTGATGACATCATTGGTGATTAAAAAAAAGGTTTTAAAAATGTTTGTTCTCAAAAATGCTCAAGTCTCTTAATGAAAACTTCCATGACATCAAAAGACCAAGTAAGAGGTAATGTGGATTGCAAACTTCCATCTCTTATCTACGTTTCTCAAGTAGTGACAAAGCTTTAATAAAAAAAAGCTAAGGTCTAAATGCTTTCCTTAAGATATCTCAATCCAATGCTTACTTAAATAAAAGATTAATTGAATTGACTTATCCAATGCTACAGGTGATAAAAAAAATGATTTTTTCTGAAGTTCAAGTAAAACAAGAAGACTATCTTAATCAGGCAGATCTTTTTTAAGAAGATGCTATTTTTATTTTTAGATTTTTTTGGTGGATCTTGAATTGTTCCCTTTTCACAATTGTTTTTTTCTTTTTCCCTTTTTAACTTAGCAATTCATTGGTTTTTGAGCAATGATCCTGATAGATAGAGATTATTACCAATCTATTAAGGAAGTGAGATATTGTTCCCAAAATCTGACTTAGAATACTTTTGTATAAAGATGAGTTAATCACTTTGTGAAAGTTTGTAAAATATTATAAATTCATTTCAATTTTTCAATAAAGATAGGCTATTATGACATGAGAGTGGTTTAAAAAAAAAATAAAATAATTCTATAAATTATCTATATATTTTTTGAAAAATAAAATTTAAAAAATATTATAAATAAATAATTTAGATAATAATAAACTATTATAAATAATTTAAAATTTTAAATATTTTTAATAACCTATTTTTATATATAATAAATTAAAAACTTATAATAAATTTTAAATTTTTATACAATTCAATAAAGTTAAATTATATTATATTAATATAATATCTTTTAATGATTATTATTATTATTATTTTACTTATAATAATATTATATATCTTGATCTTTATTAAGAAATTATATAACTATCTACAATATTACAGATTTTTTACATAATTACTAACTCATCATTGTACTAAAGTATTTTAAATTAGATTTAGAGAATAATATTTTGTTATTCTAGGGATTGGTAATAACTTCTATTCACTAGATTCATTGTCAACAGTTTGTTACTATATAAACTATGAATTGTTAAATTAAGGAAAAAGAAAAAAAAGAAATTAAAAAAGAAGAACAATTTAAGGCCCTATCAAAAAAGTTCAAAAAGAAAGCAATATTTTTCTCAAAAAAGATTTGTTTAATTGGGATAGTCTTCTTGCTTCTTTTGAATCTTAGACAAAATCTTTTTTGTTACCATTTATGATATCAAACAAATCAATCCAACTGATTTTTTATTTAAGTAAACAACAGATTGGAATATCTCAAGAAAGGTATTTAGATCTTAGCTTTTGTCTATTAAAGTTTTATCACTACCTAAGGAGCTTAGGAAAGAAATAAGAATTTGCAATTCAAATTATCCATCTCTTAGTTTTTTGATATCATAAATGTTTTTTTAAGAGACTTGAGTTTTTGAAGGATGAATATTTTTAAAAAATTCTTTCTAATCATTAATAATATTATTGAGACATATGAGTATAACCAATAGAAGCTTGTTTATATTCCAAAACTAATGTGTTTAATGTCAGCCAATTACCTTTGGTGAGAATTTGTGCTACCTAAAATTCAGGGTCAAATTGAGGCAGACAAAATTCTCCAAAAAATCATTAAAATAGAAGCTCTAAGAGGACCTAAACAGTCAGAAAGTGAGAAAATAAGCCTTTTTATTGCAACAAAACCTTTATAATCTCTCGCTTCAAAGATTAAAAAAGTCTTTAAATACTTCATAGTCAGTTCATTTTTCTTTAGAAACTTTCTTGCATTGGTATAAAAGGTATTACTTGACTTTTCTTAATCACCAGAGGTCAAGTTTTTGAGTAAAGAGGTTTATAAA